GTTACAGCCACCCTTAGCTCCTATGGAAAGCAGGAGGTTCAAGGTTGCTGTGGTGTCTATTTTCAAAGTTCTGCTTGGAATTCATTTGAGCTACCAAGGGACTTCCATGACTGCCGCCTCTCACAACAGCTTCATTCTGCTGCTGGACTGAAGCTGTTAGCTAACAGTTCCCTATAGACAGTAGAGAACAGTGGTCTCCTATTTATGCCCAATAAAATCTTTCTAGTTGCAGAAGTTCTTCATCTGTGATCTATGAGTATTTTGGCCTTAAGATTTGTGATAGGAGTCTTGGCAGACAGCAGTGAGTTTGGAGTTTCGTGTTCAAAGTGAGGCTGGACCAGACTCTGAGCAGCCTGCTCGAGCTGTAGGTGGTGTCCCTGTGCATCGCAGGGAAATTGGGCAAGATGACCTTTAAGGGTCTCTTTCAACTCAAATGATTCTATGGCTCTAAGTTGCAAGTGAAATCCAACTTCAGTTACTTCTCTTTTTCTCTGAGTAACTACAGCATCTTTTTCAAAACCTGGAAGAATAGCAGACTAAAAGTCATGTATGCCTCAGCTTTTTTCTTTCCCTTTTTTCTCGATCTTGTTTTGCTATCAATGTGCTGGGGAATTCATATCTGGTGCATGGGGGTGAATCCTGCCAAAATATTGCCCTAATGTGTTTGTAGCAGTGGTAATGTAACAGAATAGCTGTAAAAAAAAAGCTAATCCTGATGGTTAGGTCAGCCCAAATGAGGCAGACTGACTCTTCTAATTCCAGATTTTCAGTCCTGACTTGGTGGCCTGCGTTTTGCTTTCTTCCTCCTTTTGTATTAATTCCTATTTATTCTCTCTCCTCCTCTTATTCCTCATCCTTGCCCCCAAGTGTTCTTCAGCTTTATATATTGAGTTTCCCTTGGCATGCCAGAAATTTGCTGATGAATACCACTTGTCTGAAAGTTGCAAGCAGGATTTCATTTTGTGTAAGCGTTTTGTATTAAATATGAAGTATTTAGAAGTTGATTGTGAGTACATGCCTGAATTTTCAGTTGTCTGCATACGATACGTGCGATATACGTAAAGAAAAATGCACTTATAAAACAGCATGGCAAAACATACTTGCATTTTACTTTTTTGGATGTATCCAGAGTGAACTCTGAAGGACAGATTTAAAAAATAGGGAACAGCTTTTAGCCTTTATGAAGATGGCAGTTATTAATCATGAAAATCAGGTTTGCAAGAAATAGCAGATCTCTACCATCCATGTTTTCAATTCAGCACTGAATACTTTGCTGGAGAAGCAGCAGTAAGTAGCATTGTTTGGGCTGTGGTGCAGAGCAAACAATGGGTAATTTTTGTCCTCAGTCTCTTCCTCCATAGGTTTCATGATTTCCCTTGCAGTCCCAGCTCTGACAACTGGAGCTCACTGGTGGTGAATTGATGTGTTAATGCTGGAGATGGCTCCTCTTGGCCTGCCCCATATTTCATGCATTTTCAAAGTCTCTGTCACTGGAAGTGCATCAATTTTGTTGTCATGTGAGTTTCTTTTGCAACTGTCCCTGAGTTTCTGAGAGTGGGATAGCATTGCTGGGAAAGGAAAAAAGATCAGAGAGATGCAGTAACCCCTTACGTTCAGATTGTTAACCGTTGTGTATTTCAGAAAGAAAAACCTAGAAGTACTTTTCATTCAGCGAGGCAGAGAGAGATTTGGTGTCTTCATGTGGAAGTTCAAGCTGATGTGCATTAACTGGACACAAAAGGCTTAATTTGTGAATTTGCTGGGTTCTTGCTTTTTTTTTTTTTTCCTTCACCTTCTTCCGCTGACATGCTTAATCTTTTGTAAGACCCCTTTTGTGTTTTTGTTCAGGCAATTAATGTAGAAATGAAAGTTTCTTAAATCGGGATATGCAAGGAAGATTTGAAGTAACACACTGATTATATAATTAATTCTCAGTTGTAAGTTCATTTTGATGGACTTAATTCTTTCCCAGAGGCAGCAGACTGGTTTTTGGTCCACCCACAGTGCTGTAATCAGCTAAGAAATAAAGAAGAAAAAGGCCTTGAAGGAAAGGAAGTTTCACGAATGATTTTAGGGACAAAAAAAAAAGTGTGAGAAACAGGCAGGATATTTTATTTTAAATTCAAGAAAATGCTTCAGAGCTCTGGTTTTGAACCATGGGTATCCAAATCCTGTTTTTCAGCAGCATAATACGTTGAGTCCAAAACAATTCAGAGAGGAGCAATATCTGAAAAGGAGGGAGCACAATTACCTGTGCTGGAGGTGGGACTTTGCACAGATAGAAAAGTAGAGCGGATGATGAATTTAGGATTGATTTTTACATCTTTAACAAATATCTTAATGCTAGGTTTATAACTTTCTGTATGGCAGTTGCTCATTTATAAATAAATATGGAGCAGCGACTCTGTTCTTGATGGACTACAACTATTCTCTCTGCTTCTGACAGTGTTCTTTGAGGTTCTGACTTCAGAAAGCATGCATACACAGCACTCCACAGCTTAAATAATTTGGAAGATCCTACTTGTTGTGCTTCATTTGTCTGCTTCTCTCCTGCTTAACCAGTGCCTAATCATCCTGTAAATGTGTGGACTGCAGGTTTCCAGAACAAAATAATAACAAAGGAAAGATATTGACAGATTTTCAGATTATTTTGGCACTGGCAGTGCAATGCACATAGAGCATGAGTAGCAGCTAGCACAGATTATCCTCCAACAACTGAGCTCAATTAAAATGCTTTCTAATCTTAACTACCTCTGCCCATTCCTTGGTTGCGTAGATTTTGTATTACAAATTGAAAAAAAGCATATTGTCTAGGATTGATTTTAGTGTGCATGCTAAGTAAGGATAAATATACAATTGTCCTTTTATCCCATGAGCCTGTGGTTCCTGTTCTGTTTTCCTCGTCTGCAGCAGGAGTTAGGTGGTGTTGGTTAAAGTGCATTATTGCCGTGTTTCTCTGCTCAGTGGAAAACGTGTAAATGAAGCCAGCATGATGCAGATAGAGTTGTTGGACAATCTTCCTTTCAGCTGTGGGTAGCAAGAGTAGGCTTGCCTTGGAATATCACTGAATATCATCTGAAGTGATTCCTTTACCCACCTGTCTGCATTGGGGTAGAATGAAATCCCCACCAGCTGCTATACTACTCTCGAGTAGTATACTGGCGAGTTTGGTGTGTAAGAGCCAACTATGACTAAGCGACCGTTGCACCATTCTAGTGAAGGAATAGTTAAAAATAATCCTAATGTGTCATTTACATTTGAGCCTAGCAAGGTCATAGCTGGAGCTGTGTGAAAATGACTTTTTGGTGCTATTTTCACGAGCTGACTATTTATTTATTTATTTAGTTAGTTCTGGGGTTATTTCACACCCCAGGGGTTTCATTTTTTTCTTGTTGGTTGTTTTATTAATGTAAAAATATTCATTTTCACACCCGAATGTGTGATTATTTAAAAATCCTGCTTCTATTTACTGTGCATTCCCTTGCAACCTAAAGGCAAATAGTCAAATATCTGGAGCTTGATAACTCCATGGTGGTTTTGGCTGGCTTTTTCAACTCAAAAATTACTGTGAAGAGAAATATGCAGTAAGTAATTCAGACCTTGGCTTTTAAGGGTTATGAGGGCCGTGCTGTCATGTCTGGCTCTTAGTATCCAAGGATGGTTCATATGTTATTTCAGCACACACAGATGTAGGGCAGTGCCCTCTCAGATGCATAGAGACCCTCTCATGGCATGATAGTGTCAAAAGCCTGTAGCAGTGAGACTTCACCTCTGTGGCCCATTGTGACTGCAAGTAGCCTCTGACCCTCTCTCCTGCACAGCAAAATATTGTGGGTTCATGGCAGGGGGAGAATTGTAGGCAGTGTTGCTCTCAATGTCTCTGCTTACTCCCATGTACTCTGGCCAGCAGAGAAGGATAGAATCACAGAATGGCTTGGGTTGAAAGGGACTTCAAAGTTCACTGAGCTCCAACCCCCTGCCATGGGCTGGCTGCCCCCACTCAGTCAGGCTGCCCAGGGCCCCATCCAGCCTGGCCTTGAGCACCTCCAGGAGAACATGGGCATGACTTGCAGTGTACCATGACAGTCAACCGCCACCATCTCCCCTCTCTGGACACTGACTGGTTGAAAAAAAAATAATAATAATTTTTTTCTAAATGGAGCTGGTTTTGGAGAGTCTAAATGTGATGTAAAATCAGTGTCCAGGGCTCTGCCTTTTGGAATAAGTGAATGTTTTGCTGATTTCTTGCTAGAATATCTGCAACCACGCCAATTTGCATGCCTGTATGTGTGTTAGATTGCTGGCAAAGAAATGCTGAATGCTGATAATTGTATACTGATTTCCAAGGCTGATTTAAGTCATTTTGATTTTTAATTCATTCTGTGCTTCCTTTTTATTCTTGCACATGTGTAGTAATGTCCTGTAATGTTGTTGCCTAAAATAAGCAGTAAGAAATGAAGTTGTGAGATGACTGCTTTAAAAAGAAAATGCCGTTTTTTCCTTTGATTCTTTTTTCTCCCCCCCCCAAGGGAGGGGATAAGTGTGGATAATTATTAAAAAAAAAAAAAAAAAAAAAAAAAAAAAAGGTTGCATTCATTATCTTGCTGCTAATTTATGTACAGAAAACAGCATGACTATTGGAAGTTTGCAAAGCTGGGAAAAGTGATATTCAGAAGCTATGGGCTGAGGGGTGCTCAGCACCTCTTTTGGGTTGACAGATAGCTGGGTTCTTCAGTGAAAGCCTGGCTTGAAATCCTGAACTTTGTGTTAGAAGATAAAGAAACCTCTGCCCAGGTGCTGAGGGAAAGAATGAAAATGTAAGGAGTTATTTGCCTTCGTATTCATTATATATAATAAATGTTTTCTCTCCTCCCTTCAGTGATATGCTTAAGTTCATGGATACATAAGTAGTATTGGGAATCTAACTTTTCTCACGCATCTGTGAACGCGTTAGCAAATACTGAGATTAATGTTTTGCTTTTTTTTGGGGGGGGGAGTAGGAATCTGAGAAAAAGGGATTAATTGACAGAATCCACATGGTCCAAGAGATTGTCGTAGCTGTTCAAAGCGTTCTAGAGGAAATTGCGTCGTTTGGAGAGAGAATTAAAAAGTAAGTGATGGATTTTTCTTGCTTAACAGTGATTTGCAATGAGGCAGAGCTGGGGTGAATTTTCTTGCAAGGTGAAGCAGGAGAAGCCTGGCCATGGAATTTCTATTCTGAAAATGTTCCCAAAGCATAGAGAAGAGGAGAGATTGTGTGCTCTGCTGGTATTGCTCTCACAGTGTCCATCTGCTCAGATTTCTGATCTTGTCTGTCTGTGATGGAGTCGTGATGGGAGATACTGCTTGAAGTTGTGGACTCAGAACTATCAGGTTTTTCTTTGTATTTCCTCCATAGAAAATACATAGGGGACTAATGGGGTATTGCCTTTCCCATGCCCTCCCTACCCTGGTTACAGGAGTTATCAGTCATTTATTTCCATCTACAGTGCACTGATGTTCTTCTCTACCATTTTGGGCTTTCTGCTTCCTGCTGATGCCATAAGGAAGCCTGAAGGCAGTTTTCTGGTCTTGTCACAATGGGAGGCACATAGGGTATTCCTGACCCTGAAAGGGAAAGAGGTGAAGAGCCAAAGAGAGAGAGAAAAAAAAAGGAAAGTCCCCCACACAAACTCATACAAACTTTTATAACCCAATCTTTCTTGGCACTTCATTGACCCACATTGTTTTCTGTTTTGAGCACAAAGTGATGGTTTGTGATTGAGCCACACTTTAATGAGGAGCCGGGTTCAGGCTAAAAATACAGCAAACCCATGTGTTGTGGTTCCACGCTGTGCACCCCAGCTGGGGTGGAAGTGGCCCAGAGATGTATTCCAGTCTATGAACGGGGCAGTGTTCTGCCCAGCTGCGTGGCAGGAAGACTCACTATTAATTCTTGTATTCATTTTGGTGACAATGGTCTTAAAGAACACATTGGGTATTAATGTGGAGGCCCAATGTAATTTCAGAAGAATTCCATTGTAACTCAACAGAAATGCACCATTAAAGAATTGCCACCAAAAAATTTTTGTAAGTGACAGACTGAATTGTGCTGCAGTTTCCATCTGTCACTCTAGTTATGCAATCATAGGGAATTTTACTACTTTAACAGAATTGAGCTGTTTTGCTACTTGTTGTTTTTTTCTTTTTTTTTTTTAACTTGAGCTATGTTGATGGCTTCTCCCCCACCTATTTTTACTTAATACTTACTACATCTGGTGAAGTTTAAAAGTAATTATTCTCCCGTACTAGTAATTTTATTGGTCAAGAGAAGTTCATGTCATTTTGTAGCCTGATGACTGGTCCACATTTATTCTCTTCTTCCTACTCCCTGTCATCATGACGTGATGAAATTAGCAGGTAGATGGCATGAAATGAATGCTAAGATCATAGAATGGCTTGGGTTGGAAGGGACTTGAAAAATTATTGAGCTCCAGCCTCATGCTGTGTGCTGGTTACTACGCCTTAGATCAGGCTGCCCGGAGCCCATCCAACCTGACATTGAGCACCTCCAGAGATGGGGCACCCACAGCTTCTATGGGCAAAGACCTGTAAATCCACCTACAGACTAATTAACGTTCATATTGTCTCCAGGTGTCTCAGTGTTTGGTGATACAGAACGTGTTGATGGAGTACCTGCTAGGATATATTTCTAATAGCTGATAACCCAAAGTACGTAGTAAGCTTACATGTAAATGATATGAGTGAAAGGAAATGTCTTCTGTATGTGCTACAAGTCTAAATTCCTGTGGTGACTGAGAGCCCATGTGCAAAAGTGTCAGTGTGCAAAGGCTTGGACTGCTGATAACATACGATAGCTGAGCTGAGGCAGCCTCCTATGTGCAGTGTAGTAGAAAATTGATAAAAATGTAAGAAAATAGAAGCAAGCGTGTACCTATTAAGATGTATTTGTGTAGAATATTATTCCCCAGTACTATGCAGAGAAGTGACTAACTACTCTTCTAAGGTTTAGTGTTAGTTGCAATTAATCCATTCCAAGTTACTGGCAGAGTGGACTCTGGCTACCTGCCACTTTCAAGTCATGCATCAACACCCTTTTCATGTCATCTCCACTGTGGTCCAGGAGAGCCAGCTCAGATGGCTTGCACCTGCAGCGTAGTCTTCTCTCAAATCAGATAATCTTCCCATGAATAATGGAGAGCTGACCGGTGAGCAGAGATGTATAACGAGTGCAACATGTATAAGAAGAAACAAGAACAACTCACTGCGTGGCTAACAACTTCACCAAGCCCCCCTGAGGCTATCCTCTCTCCTTGCCCTGATATCTGCCTCTCAGATAACACCTTTAATCTCTTACAGCATCCAGGTGCAGGACTCCACTTACCCACTTTCCAAAGCGTATTTGTGTATTTGAATGTGTAAAACCTTGCAAAGAGGTCATTAAATTGTTATTTGTCATAAAGCACGGTGTAGAAATACTGAGAATTGTTGTTCTTTACAGCACATTGAACTGGACGGTGCCCTTTCTCTCAGTTCTGGCCTGCTTGTTCCTCGCAGCAGCAACAGTCATTTTGTACTTTATACCACTGAGGTACATTATTTTAATCTGGGGTAAGTACTCCACTGTCTCTCATGCACATGCAATAAATGCATTATGTATTCATAGAATTAAATCAGTCTTTACGTTACCTGCTACACTCAGTTGCTTTTACTTATAAATGAATGAATATGCTATGAACATCTTCATATTTTTTCTTGTGCTCCCTGAGCTATCCAGTGATCTTCTTTTCATAGGATTCTTTGTTAGTTTTCAGCAGTTTCAAGAGGCACACAAGTGTAGATAAGCTATTTTCATTTATTGTTATTATTATTATTAGGAAGCAATTAGCTTCCTCGTGCTGGAGCCCCCAGCTGGGAAATGCTAGGGAGTGGGCAAGGTGTGTTTGAAGAGCTGGACCATGGAGGCCAGGGCTCTGGCAGCCGTTTGATTCTTAGCAAAATCAGGAGCGTTGTGCTTAATAACCTGTGGTCCAATGGGAAGCAGTGAGAATATCTTTGGAGCAAGAATGGTTGTGTGAAAGTCTATTGATTTACTGGGATGAAGCAAAATAGGGGCTTTTTAAATATGAAAAAGTGCCTGGTAGTGCTCTGAAGAGGAGGTGGTCTTTAAGAGCAACAACAAAAAAAGCATGTTTCAACTGCAGAAGTCTGTCCTTAACTCCAAGTGGTCTTCTGTCTTTTTTATTGTGCTATCTTTTATCTCAATTTAAAGGTAGACCTCACCGAACTGCTAAGCTCTGCCCTGGTGCAGTGCTGGGATGTAGGGAGCTCCTGTCACCCTGTCAAGCCCAAGCCACTGTTGTAGGAGAAAAAAGAAATAAGGGATTAAATCAAACAAAAGAAAGAGCAAAAGGAAAGGGGAGAAAATGCTGGGAGTAAAAAGTTCTGTAGCAAAATACTGTTGTTCTGGTATGGAGGACATGGTGAATACACGAGAGCTATACATCCGTTCAACATCATCTAGGCTGACAGGGCCTTCAAATATGATACGTGTTAAACAACTACCCTGTGGCAAGGCCTTAAAAGACCTTATGGTATTTTCTGTTTTTTAAAAATCAGGTACATAGAAAATTGTGTTGGCATTTTGCTACAAGTATATGGCTTAAGAGCTGCATCTCAGATGTGAAGCAGGAGCATTTCACCGAGGGGAGAAGGCTGGAGCAGCCATCTCATTTTAAACTACTTTCAGGGAGACTAGTATGGGATTTTGGACAAGAGTGTAATAGGATTCAGTGCTCTATTACGATTGTCGGAGGCTGCTAGCATATGAATTTTTTTTTTTGGCTGTTCTTTCAAGTGAGCTGGCTGTTCTCTTCTGCTCAATGACACTCTCCTCTTCTACTATGCCTTTAGATAGCCATACTGATCTCTTAGTGGGGAAGCAGCAGGGTGTTGGGTGTCTTTGCTCATGAGGGATAGTGGATTTAACAGTCATCTCAGTGGCAAATTGGTTATATTCTCTCCACGTTACCCTCCAGAATGAATGCATGCTACAATCTCTTTTTTTGCCCCCCTGTTGATAACAGATTTCTCCCAAAGTAGGGAAATGGCTGTATAAACCTGCTTTTTTCAGGAGGCACTTGTGAATGATCCTACATGACTGGCAATGTGTGCATGGCTTGAAGTTTGAGGCGCTGCTTTCACGCTAATTTTTACTTGTGAATTCTTCTTCCCTTTTTCACCTCATCTGAACAGTTGAGTAGGGAGGGGGACAGAAATGAGTTATTTTGTTTGCTTTTATTTTTCCAGGCATAAATAAATTTACTAAGAAACTTAGAAATCCCTATGCCATCGATAATAACGAGCTGCTAGATTTCCTCTCCAGGGTACCATCTGATGTTCAAAAGGTATGTAATGAAATGGGCAGCACCAACAGAGGCAATGAGCAGCTCTGAGGGCGGCTGGGTTAGGGAATACAATGCCCCTGCACTTTTGAATAACTGAGATAAGGGATTGGGAAAATCCATGGAGGGTGGGGGAGTGGGGGAGGGAATGTCACAAGAGAGAGGAGCCAGAATCCTTTGTCAGAAGCGTGATTGCAGAAAAATTATCCTGAAAAGACTTACTTAAAAATGATCTGGAAAATCATCCAGCATGGTTAGTGAACCATGGTTTCCGTCACCTTTCTGCTCCTATATTTGTACGGAGGAAAGAGAAAAATAGTCTCTTTGATGGAGATAACCATCCAAAAGCTTTCTGAATTCTCCCTTTTCTCAAAATCGAGCGTGGGGGGATTATTTCCATGACTTTGTGCTCGCTGTGGTTTTTTTTCACATCAGCCATCCCTCAAAATTCTTCCTCCCCACCCACCTTGAACTCCAGGCTGCCCTTGGACGAGGCTCAGCTCATCTTTTTCATTAGAGAAAGCTTTGAGATGTGTATAAAATACGCTGCGGTTGATGAGTTCAATCTTCTACCATTACAGAATTATAACTTTTAATCTAGCCAGAATCTATCCGCCCTCAATTTCAGTCAAGTCTCGTCTCTTTTCATATTTCTTTGAAACAACAAGAGTGTCTTCAGTAATCCTGCCAATCTTCCTGGAAATTATTTGAACAATAAGTCCTTTAGAATGTCAGGATCTGTTTATTTCTCCTGAAGGAAAGAGAATAGTCTTGCTGAGTAACAAGGCACATGATATAGAGGATTTTTTCTTTTGTTTTAATCAACTGGAATCTCTGTCCTCAGGCCCCGATCCTGATGCTCTGGAGCCCACTGATATTGTACCTTCCTCTGTGAATCGTGGTACTTTCACAGTGAGGTGCTGCTTACTGTGAATAAGGGGATCACAATCTCGCCTGTAGTGATTTCACTCTGCTGGAGACTCAAAAATAATTGCCTTCATGCAGAGTTGAAGCATCTGGTAGAAACAGGGTTGGAAAGGCTTGTGGTGACATTTATCTCAAGAGGTCACCAGATTGGCTGATGGCAGCACTAATAACTTGAGAGAAATCTCTTCTTAGACTGGTGGGAGCAAAAGAGCTAAACAAGAATAATCATGCAGATGTTAAGCTTGAGTGTATTTTTGGTTGTTTTTTTTTTTCTTTTGCCATTGCTCTCATAGAGCACACTGGATTTGCAGTGATGGTTTGCATATGCCCTGTTAATGTTTATATTTAAAGATAAGCTGCTTTTCTATTTATGCTTTATTTAACATTTACATTTATAACATTTCCTTGAGTGGTTTCTATCATTTTGGAAACCTTTGAACTCTCTGAGGAAAATGATAACCATTTACTATGAGGGAGGACTAATAAAAGTTCCTTCGATGGGACAAACCTTCTCAGAGCAGTTTTCCACTGGTGCTAAAAATAGTGAACCCTGTGTGTCAGCCACGCGCTCCTCCAGCGAGGAGTCATCCGTGGCAACTCCAAATCCTTTCTGTCTGCTTCCTTTAACGTGCTATTGATGCATCATCATTTCACTGCGGTACTGCAATGAGTTGGAAAACACCTCTGTCTTTTAACCCACATGTGCTAGGCGAAAGACAAGAGTGGAAAACATGGCACATTCAGCAAAAGGTTTCTGTGATCTCAATGGGAATACTTTTCTATGGCACAACAAGGCAATTTGCTGTTGGGGTTGCATGATACTCCGCAGTTTATCTATACGTGTTTCACCTATTAAATTGCAAATTAAGTTGTTTTGAAAGGTAAAGGTAGCTTTTGTCCAGGCTCAATTTGAGAAAATATTTTTCAATTTGATATGATTAAATATTAAAACATCCCAAGGTCTGCATGCAATTTTGACAACAGTCATTTTGCTGCATATTGGGATCCACTTGATCTGTTACTCCTCAGAGAAGTTGATTAAACTTATTTACTGGTTAACGCCAGAAGAAGAAAAACAGCTCCCAAACCAAAACAAGCCCAAAGATCTCTCCTCTGCTGCAGAAATTAGGTAGAACCCCATGTATCTCATTAGAAAAATCTGCTTTTAATATTTTGTTTCAAGAAATGATGCATGACTTCTCAAATCCTTCCTGCAATTAATCCCCCATGTTCCTGTGTTTAGAAAATGATTCATTACTTTTGAACCTTCCTTAGTTTCCCTTGGTTTGTCCTTGGGGAGCCATTAACGCACGCTGTACTGAGCTAGAGTTACCTAGCTGCAAACGTCATGTCTATTTGTTTTTACAGGTGCAGCATGCTGAATTGAAACCATACAGCAGCTCCAGCCCCATTAGGAAGAAACGGAGTGCGCTATAGGATGAAGTGCAATTTCGGAATGCAGCATCTCTCTCTGTACCCCCATGTATACACACGTGCTTCCCCCTTCTCGTCGTAGTTCAGAACAACACAATAATTCGTTGGTTTTTTTTGTTTGTTTGTTTGTTATTTGTTTTTATTTTATTTAAGCTGGTCTTTTTGATAAATACCTGTTTTGAGTTGTCTTTTTGGGCTGTCTCTTGGCACCAAGATGTAGCCCCTAAAGAGCGGAGTGAAACATGTGAATTATTTTGTAGGGTGGGGTGTAGTGTGGGAGGGTATGGTGCCACTGCATTCCCTCTTTTTATTTTTTATTTTGCTTCCATTGCAGAGGCTATGCTGGATGTGGCAGCGCTCCATTTTTTTTTTTTATGTAGGAGGAAATAATTCTGCCTAGCGTAGCAGATCAGCTGAGCTGATGTGAGGAGATGCTCTGAACCAGTTTTTAACATATCCAACAGATTTACATTAAGATATGAAAGCTATTCTTTTCTGAGTTAAATCACTGTGCCTAGAAAGGTTTAAGCTCTGAATTAACGAGTCTTTGATACCCATCTTCTGTTCAAGCAGTGTACATTTTAAAAAGTTTTTTATCATAATTAGCAGAGTGAGGAGCTCCAGCAGTATCTCAATATTTCATCCAGCACTTGTGGGTTTTTCCTTTTTCCCTTTTCTTTAAAAAAAAAAATAAAAAATGCCCACCCTGTGGTTAACTGTTTGGGTACTGGATTCATTGGAGATCCATTGCTGGCAATGGATGCATGAGAACCTTCTGCTGCAAAGGATTAAGAGACTGCAGAAAAGCCTAACTCGCTGACCTGAAAAGACTCTGTTGACTTGCCTTTTATAACTCCATCTCATCAGATATTTTCAGCACAGCTCTTGTTTTTCTGTCTAAATCCAGAGGGGTCAACACTACAGATCCAGGAGAAAAACACTTTATTGCCTTAAACAAACAAGTGCTGGTGCAGAAAGAGTACGTGGTGCCCAAAGGTGTGGCTGTGCAATAGGGGGGGCAGGTGTTGGTCTCCCGCTGATTTCCTTTGGAGTCCACAAAGAAAGGATCAGAAAATGAAATTATATGGGAAATGAGCAATGAAGAAACATGAGAAAGGACCCAATTTTCTGAGTGAAATGTGGTTTCTTGCTTTGATCTTTTAGCTATTGTTCTGCTTTGTAAAATTCACATAACCAGCATAATCCATGTTGTTTGCCTTGGGAAACTGAGGTGGAGAATCATGTAAACCTGCTCAGTTTCTCTTGAGAGTGCATTCCTGAACCTTTTGTAGGACTTTGTGGGAGTGACTTGTGACTTGCCCCCATGCGTCACTGTTAGCACGAGAGCTGGAGCTTGGTTCTTGCCATTTCCAGGCAGGTGTTTCCACCAGCATCACCTCAGGTGGTTCACCTTACAAACAAAGAGAATCCTGGTGCACAAGTTGCTTTTTAAAAATATTCTTTGAAAGTCATCTAATTAAAGGTAAAACAGGTAAAGCTTTGCTTATGGATTGGCAGTCCAAATGCTGCTGCACCATTTGATGATGCAAACCTGAGGGCTTGATGTGTGAATTTGGTGCAAAAAACTAACATCAGAGTATTTTTCACTGGGTTGTTAACTGGATCCAATGATTTTTCGGTGTTTATTTTTCCAAAGTAACAATCTCCTCTATGCCACTGGATCATGAGGACACATGTTCATAGACTTGATTTAAAATGGAATAGTTCAATTGGAAAGGACCCTCAAAGAACATCGAGTCTAACTGCCCAACTTCAGGGCTAACCAAAAGTTCAAGAATATCGTTAAGGGCATTATCCAAGTGCCTCTAGAGCACTGACACACCCGGGGGCATCAACCACTTTGTTAGGAAGTCTTTTCCAGTGTTTGACCACCCTCGTGGTAAAAAAAATTTTTTCCTGATGTCCAGTCTCAGTCTCCTCTGTGCTGTCCTCATGGGTCCTATCGTGGGCTACCAGGGAGAGGAGATCAGTGTCTCTGTGATAAAGAATGTGTTTTGCTCATGTAAAGCTCTGTTTAGGTGCGTATGAAGAGACAGAAGAAAGATTATCTCACTTTAAAATAGTATAAAAATGCCTCTTTGTGTGATGTGTGCTTGTGTACCCATGCATGTACACAGTTGTGTATAAAGAAGAGTACATGTATAATGTATTTATAGGTGAGGAAGTGTGGGAAAGTGATTGAACATACAGATTTAAAAACCTTGAAAATGTTTATGAAAAATGCCAAAGATTCTAAAGCTTATCTTGTGTCTGTTCTTCTTCATTTTGTACCGTTCCCGGCATGTCTCTCTGGCTGAGCCAGATCTCTGCATGATTTGATTTACTTCAAGTTAATGAAGTCGGTTGGAAAGAGTCTTGTAGAAATTATAAAATCTCCAGTAAATCTCCTTCTTGTACATACAATGGATGTCCACGGATCTCTTTTGTTAAACTGGTTTCTCAATCTTCTGTGTAAACAATGCCTCGTTGTCTTGCTTGAGACTATCATCCAGTTTATCATACTGTAGTCTTGTCGCTTTGTGGACCAAAGTCCCACATATTTAAGCAGGCCTGTGAAATCAGATCATTGATCTGAGTGAAAATATTCAGCTGCAGCAAACGTTTATTTATTCAGAAGTTGAGACTGATATTGTAATAGTGATTTTTTTTTTTTTTTTTTTCCCCTATAGATTTCTTCACATTTGATTTCTGTTCAGGAGACAGGGTGATGTCTTTATATAGATAGATAGATAGATGTGTGTTTTGGAATAATTTGTATTAGATTGTTATGCTGGAGGCATATCAAATGAAGGGGTTTGGATGGCCCAGTATGTGTAAATCTTGTAATGAGCTCTTTGTTTTGATAAATGCTGTTTGAAATGCAATAAACATTTGAGGTTATGGTGATGTTTTTAATTTATCTGGATTAGGACATATATTTCTCATTCCTTGTAAAATGCTTACTGATCTATATTATTCAGTATCTGGCTATGTGAGCAAGTACATCACTTGACAGCGTAGTGTACCAACACCTGAGGTTACCTGAAGCGGACTCTGCTGCTGAAGAGATAAGGTAAAGAGAGACTCCACCTGCTTTTAAACTTTTGGATGGGATTTCCTAGCCCCTGCCAAGGGGAAAAGAGGGTTAGGTGCATTTGCTGCCCACTGAAGTAATCAAAATCTTTATTCAGACTTTTCATTTGATTCCTGAAGCCAGAATACCAGTTGTTATGTAGCTGAGTGTCCATCTGCCCATGGGAATTATTGATTTTTGCATTGTTAATCTATACACTGTATAGCATGGAAATTATAAACTTATGTTTTTAATTTACGGCAGTCATTTGAGTCCCACAAGATGTACATTTGCATTCTAATTTCTCTAAGACCAGAAGGCATTCACAAATGTGAATCTATCTGTGGGTCCTTGGGCTGCTGTAGCTTGTGGAACACGGAGATTTGTTGATAGCATATGACCAAACATGTCTACTGTCTTCAAAATATGTAGATGTCTGGATTTGACATACGTGTGCAAATGAAATATGTACTTGTGTTTGTCCAAACATAAGCTGCTGCTAAAAGTTGGTTTCTGGACTAATCTTGAATAAGAACAAGGACTCGGCTCCCTTACGGATCACTGTCAGGAGAACTCGGTCACTGAAACGCACACTGTGGAAAGCAAGCAAACAACTGAATAAAGCAGTCTGTGGAAATGTCACAAGTGCCTTTTCTTTCCTACTTGCAAAGCTGCAGTTTTAACCTTCAGCTCTTTCATTCCTCTCTGCTCCCCCTCAGTCCTCTCCCACACAAAGCGATGGAAAGCTTGGGCTCAGCCTTGCTGCTCTGGGGTTCACGCCTATGGCTGTTGCCCTGCAGACCTACCTTCATTTGCGTGGGGAAGTGCTCATCCCTAGAAATTAGGCTCCTACTAATTGACTGCCTGGAGTATTAATAGCTCCCAGGACTGGGTAGTCCCACTGGAAAATGGAGAGTTGCCATTTAATTTCCTGTACTCTACATGGGGCTACTTTGTTTGGTTGAGCTTTTATTTGTAGGGCCTGATCCTGCAGGAATCGCCACAACTGGAGTTGCTTTCCCATCAGCTCCATAGGTTCACACTTGGAAGGAATTTGGCTGCTCTGAGGGGTTAGGAAAAAAAATCAACAAAATATATTTTAATCAAACCTTAACCTTTAGATTCTCCGTCCTTTAAGCTAAGCTGATAGACTGTTTGGGAAATGTTAGCTTTGACTCTGGAGACTGTGGTATGTATTAGAAGTGAATCCTCTTCTGACTTAATACTGTACTTGTATTTTATCTTTAAAGCTACATGTGTCAGTGCCCTGGTGCATCTACCCCTTCAAATTACACAGAGACACGATAAGCATATCTGCTCTTCAGCATCCTGAAAGTTAGCAACTGGGAAGAGAGCTGAGGTACTACATATTGTTAACCTGCTGTATTGCAAATGGAGTGTTTTAATTGTTCTCACTTTAGGATAAGTTAAACCAGGTGAATTCCAAGATTTTTGGATAAAATGTCTGCCAACAATTTTATCAATGGAGAAGACCCTCAGCGGCAGCAGCAGTTATGTAGTTCCAAAGGATATGTGAGTAAACAGTACGTTTTGCTTAGTGTAAATATTCGAAAGCATTTAGAAATAACAAAGTGAAAAAACCAAGCATCCTCCAGATGATACCATTTCTAATCTACTTTCCTCTGCATTGCTTTGGCTTAAAACAGTGCAGCATGTAGAAGGTCATTTTGTTTTGAATAAGTGATGTGCTCCTCTGACATGAATCATGGAGCTGAGCACAGGGCAGCAGGAGGTGGCATTCAGGGCTCGGTGTTTGCAGCAGCAGCAGCACCTGGGCGGGCAGGAGTTCAAGTTCTCAGCATGGCTCTAACCCGAGGGCTGGTGATTCTTGTTAAATTTTACGTGGGGGAACATTGCCAATCAGTTTTCCTGTGTCGGATTGAACACCTGCAATTTCCCTCTTGGCTGAACGAAATGATGTGCCTCTGAGAGAGGAAGAAAGTAAAAGCCAGAAGATCAGCCAGCTTAAACTTCATCTGAGCTGCTTTCTTAGCACAACCATCCTTCCAACCTCTTCCAGACCTCTTTGCAGACAGAGGTAAGAGACTTGCTTGTAGGTTGGACACATGCATTTGGATCTGGGTCTTCTAGACACAAATATGTTCAGGTTTGGATGTGAACAGGTTGCCCCTCACGCTGCTATTCAATGGCTTTGTGAAGCCATGTGCTCAACTGACATTTACAGTGGCCTCCAGTCCATGAAGGATGGACTGTGCTCTGGGCTTTGATGAAATGAAGGGTAGATGGGTGTAAGGAGTGCTTAGCTAGGTGTTTCCTATTTACACTCTCATGTTTTGATCAAATTTATAGCAGAGGAACAAAGAAACGTTCTGGCTCTCTATCCCTGCGCTTTGGTAAGTTTTTCTGTCAACAGGAGGAATATTGGATTATGTTAACCTGTCACCTACCAACTGAAGGTGATAAGAACCAAAGAGTCAGTACTTGCAAACAAACCTAAATGCATTGTTTTATTTCTTGAGCAAACCCTTTCTACTGCTTCTGTTTTAACATTTATATCTGAAAGACGGAATCCGAATATCTTTGTGCTCATTGTCATGTAGGGCAGCTGCTTCTGAGGGCCTAAGCCTGTGCATAGCAAAACCATGTATTGCTCCTTGCAGGGATGGGGGAAAGTCTCCCTCCATGTCTGGCAATGGACGACTTTACTGAAAGTCATTGCCATTCCCTTGCATTTATCACTGCCACTCTTGCTCTGCATATTTTTGGTATTCGCCATGCATTGTTAGCAGTGATTGTCATGTAATTAAATCACTGCTCATCACAAGAGCCTATTTTTATGCTGAGATAAGCATCAGAAGTCTGCTGCAGCGTCCCCCAGATCAATAAAGATGTTCCCTGTAGGATTACAAATAGTCTGGGGTTGTACAGGGCACTGGAATTAATTAGGAATGATTTCTCTTTTTCTTTCTTCTTTCAATACATTTTTAATTGTTTATCCATTTTCGATGGGCTTGTTTTTAACTCTGCCACGATGCCCAGATGCTTCTGTTCAGACCTTTTGAGTATAAGATACGATATCAATTTGGACAATACCATTTGCTGTAAGCACTCGCTATTATCATCATCCTTTCATAGACTTGTGTGGCTATTGCTTCAAAATACATTTCTGAATGTGATATTTGCATCTCAAGTTTTACACCTGAGATTACCATTAAATGGATCCGTTAAGTGGTGGGATTTAACCAAATACATTCCAAAACCTTCAGGCTCTCTCCTGAAGATGTGGCACTGTGATTGGACGATACTGGGGGTGAGTAGAGAGAATCAGGCCATTTAGCAAGGAAGTGTTTGCACAAGGTCACAGAATTGCAGGAAAGAAAAGGGACTATCTTGGAAGTCTCGCATTTTCAGACAGTTTGAGAGCTTGATTTCTGGGGCAGGACTGCTGCTTCATATGTTTTTTTCTTTTCAGTTTGTACAAATATATAGAAATCTATTTGGAGAAGGTAGATAAACAGCGCTGAGTTTGGGAGCTGCTTCTGGGAGAAAAATGAATTTTGATTTTCTTTTTGTATGTGCATGTGTGTCAAGGACTGGTTGTATCCCCCACAGTGAAAACTGCGGGGAAAGATCAGATCTGAATCCATGGATTTCCAGGGTGCTGGAACTGTCTGAAGGTCAGCACTAATGTGTTTTTCTTTAAAATTAGTTTGCAATTGGTCTATAAAGTTGTGTTATTCTTTTATCCTGAGTGCATGGAAAATGGAGAGAGTTCTAAATCTGAAACCACCTTTACCTTGGAGGATTTTGCTTTTGGAATTTAATCAATGCTGTCTACTTTCTGCAATTTAAAAAAAAGAACAAGAAAACCTCCTTTGTGCTGCATGGTTTTCTTACAAAACAAAAATCAAAATCCCAAAACCCCTATTTTTGCCTCCTCTAATGTGTGCAGCATCATCCAAGGGAGTACCAGCAAAGCACGTTGTATTACTTAGGTTTGTACTTTGCTGTTCTCAGATATCTACTTTCCTTAGCCTTGTTCCTTATGTTTTTGTCCTGCTTTTACACGCCAGTCTGATTTTGTCATCTTCCATGGGTTGTTAATCTGTGTTGTTGACTGGATGTGTGAATGGAGGCTGTGGACCGTCTGCACAGGACACTGGTGAGACAGAAGTTGCTTAAACAGAGCCTTGGTGTCTGTGAATGAGGCACATGGAAGGTGAAAGTCAACATCCTCACCCATGCCATGTCCTTCTCATCCAGCATCATCAATAACAGAAACAGATTTTTCAGCTCTGCTGCAGAGGGAGTGTTTGCTCTGCTGGAGACTCAGGCAAAAGGTAAACTGCTTTTAGGGAGCAGAAACCAGTGTAAGGATTCCTGTAGGGATGTACAGCCACTTCTCTACGTGAGAAAGAAATTAACAGTTGAGTGTTTTGCAATTGCTGTGTGGTTCTTTGTGAGCTGTACTTGAAGTGCATTGATATAAAATCCTTGCTGAGCTCAAAGGCTTTGAATCAGCCTGGCTACTCTTATGAGTTAGATAAATAGTGGCCGAACTTGCTGCTGTTTGACTGTGATTTATTCTTGTTGACAGCAGTTTGTTGAGGGAACAGATGATATTCATGGTATGTCAATATGTACAACATTATGGAAAGCTGGACTACATGCCCAAAGTGGAAGTACATTTTTGTTAAAACTCACTCACTTTATTAGTGAGTAATTACTTTAACTACAGTGAGCACCATCCCAGTGTTGCTGGTGTCAGTGCAACTCTTCTATTGCTCTGAGAGTATCTCTGTGGCTTAGGTCGCTTGCAGCTGCTTGGTTGCCTTGCAGGCAGTGTGCAAACTGTATGTGTGAACCATGTTTACAAATGTGAATGGTGTGATGCTCGTTACTGGCAAGGTCTGGGTGTGTGGGTCCAGCATGCTGCTCAGAGGTGCTCTGGTCAGTAGCCAGCATCCAGATACTGGATTTCCATGCAGTGTGTATGGGATATCTGAAGGATGGGCTCAGCCTTCCCTTCGCATTCAGGATCTGTGAGATGACTGTGGTGGAGATATTTACATAAAAAGAGCACTACCAATCCCTAAAATTTATCTCAATCATGCATGGGTGTCACAAAATCCTCTTTCAGGGCTACAGGACGTGGCTGACCTTTATCTGTCCCATGTTCAGGACGGGTTTATTTTGGGGCAGTCAGAAAGGAAATCCCAGTGTGGAGGTGATGGAACATTTTGTTGTTGTTGTTGAGTTGATGTGAAAAAGAAAAA